CAGATAATTCATTAAATCCACCATTTCATCGACCCCTCTTCTCTTTATCGTCTCTTTATCATAATTAATGCGATGTTATCCCTTCACGCCACAGCTGCTTTTGCATTATAAAGCTCTCAGTGCTCTTGATGATAATGGTCTCTCCTGTCTTCTGCCTCTGTGTCTCCATCTGCGACACTGATTATCTCTCACAGCTATTATGCTGTGGCCTAATTAAAACACAACAAACCGCATGTTTTAGCGTCCGGATCGCATATTTCTTTTAACAAATACATAGTCAACGTCAGTTAAGCTCTGGGATCTCTGTGTGCAGGCAAAGTCACAATTGCTATTTAGTATGGGCAAGGCAAACATTTTTGAGAAAATTGAATGAGTTTTATTCATCGGGCAAATGGGAAAGCCTTGTGTTTGAGCCAAAGAACTCATTTATATTTGGTGAATACAGTGAGCCAAGCACTGAGTAGTCTACTGGCACCACTACCATCAGTACCGATTTTTGCTTCTCAAGTTTACCTTGAATTTTCGAGTTGGAACAAAAGGACCTCTTTCTTAAAAGCTGCAGCACATGAATAATGGATTGCATTAACACAGAAGCGACTGATGTGAATTTGCGAATGTGCCCAGTGATAAGATATTCAGATATCCGTAGCCACTCGCATAACAGTTCTTTTACCTCCTGGGCAAAAGTAGATAGAGAGACCCTTTTACAGCATCAGATGGCTGGCTCTCCATCACGATTTGTTTTGTGTCCTGTAATCTTTCAGCAACAGCCGGCTATTCCTGGAGGTGAAACATCAACCCAAAGAAACACTGAAGGGATGCGTTTCATAAATATGAATTATGGAGACAAAGGAAAGAAAAGCATTTCTATGTAACCCAAAGGAAACTGTTAAAGGACTCTATAGCACAAAAACTCAATAGATATCAAATTCAAACAACATTAGGCCTTTGAACTTCTTTTAAAAAAACAAACAAATAATACAAAACTAGATAGCAGCCACTTGCTCACACTTTCAATCATCCAGAATGCACTCACAGACCCTAAGTACATGTGCATAGATCTCTCTTATCTTTAGTTAATAGTCAGTGATCACACATTTCTGGCAGCTTAGCTCATCTTGTTCATTTAAAGGCAGTAGCACACCTTAACCACCAGGTGGCATTGCAGACCCACAATAAATGATGGTGAGAGTTGGAAACAGCATCAGGACATAGGTGAAAGTTCTGAACTGGTTAGCTGTGAAAAGTACAGTTTGTTCAAGTACTGAACAATGTTTATTTCTATTTATGCCTTTATGGTATTTTCAGAGAAAAACTCTTTGACTTAGATTAATTTTTGAGTGAATGTGAATCATGATCACATGATCATATGATGCACAGAGCTGATGAACATGAACTTCACACTGTTATGACATTGTGCAGTAAAGAAAACAAACATCATTAGCCTGCTTTTACTTGAAGGGATAGTTTGAGATTTTGTTTGGCAATGAGTTATTGTTATTGTTTGTGTCTAATATGATGTTATGGTCGTGAGAGGATTGTTGTTGTAGTTGGATGGCTATCTTCAGACTCTCTCTCCCATGGCCACCAGCTCATTCTTTGCATCAGAAATCAAATTCTCTAAAATGTCAAACCGTTGTTGCAAATAAGAAAGGGACTGACAGTAACATTTCCACTTCAGTGATAAATAAATAATCTCCCAGTTATGATCCTGAAATACCTACAACAGAAAACAAAAACAATGATCAGATTTGATTCACACATGCCTGACTAATGATGATTTGGTACGCAGTTAGCAGAATGCAGCTACATCACAGCGAGCATGATCTTGCACATTACTAGAATCAATATTCGTTAAATGCAAGCTTGTAGGCCTGGATGTGTTCTTCAGGGGAGTAATTACAAAATTTTTTGCCCACCTGCAAATTGTGTGATTTTACCTCTTGACCCCTCTGCCGTGATGAGTGATGATCTGTCGCGGTCTCCCACCTGAACCGAAACACTTCACTTACCCGGTGGTGCAGCGTAATAGCACAGAGAAAATCAATACAGAGGTGACAGTGAATTAAAGCCACTGGATAAGGACACTGATATAAAACCTTTGCAAGGATGCTGGGATTATCCCAAGAAAGCCAACTGGCTAAAGACTGCGACAACTCAGGAAGCCTAAAACCAAGATAACTGCTGATCCTTTTACACTGTCTTGCTTTTTATCCATACATCCTGTGGACAATCTAGCCACGGTGTGGAAAGTAGCTCTTTTCCTACACGCCTTTCAGCTCTTGTTGCTGAACAGGCCTTCTGGGAAGGTTATCCACACAGTGATATAAACAGCTGCATTGCCTACTCTGCTAATATCTGAGTAATCCATCCTTCTTTTACTCAAGCCTGTGCAGCTTTCCTGGGAAAACAATCAGTATCACTGTAATCTGGACTAGTGATGAGCAACTGCCTCAGCTGGTTTGCTCATCCTTTTTTGTCTGCGGGGCCTAAAAACACCACAGGGATGAGAGGAAGAGCGCTAATCAAAAAGAGTTAAATCATGCCTGCGTCAGTTTGATAATCCACAGTGGATTTCCATGCAGATGGAGATAGAAGTAGACAGTAGAGGACTTTTTTCCCCCTCCTCTCCCTCTGAGAGGCACTTCACACACACGCACATACAACTCTACCTCAGCTCATGTTACAGGTGTTATCCCCTAGGAAAATTGTTGCTGGTGGGTTCCCGCCTTTCTCTCTGTCTACGTAGCAATGTAGACAGAGAGGTATAATGGAAAAGCAATGCTGAACAGCGTGAACCTTCAGCTCCTTTCCTTTTTGATGAGAAAATCATGTTGATGCAGGTAGACAACAGAGAGTGAGAAGGAAGCAGCGACAGCCCTTTCCCCTGCTACGCTGATCACAGAGTTCACCTGCAAGTCAATTTGAATAGAGACGCACTGTGTAATACAAATCTCAGAGACATAAATGAGCTTAAAAACATGTAATATGGTACAGATATGCTGCTGTCAGACATTAGATAGCTCCGAGTCATGCTGCCAGTATTTCTGGAACTACCACAGATGACACAATATTGCACAATATTGCACTATGGAGATATTAAAGTCACCTTTTATATATTTGAAAATTTTATATCCTTATACTGCCATAACAGGTTTTCTTTGGTGCCTGCAGGACTCAATAACATGTTTAGTATTATCTTATTGCACTTTATGGGATTATGTTTTATCTTTTATTACATTACTATGTTCACGTGGTTCCAGGTATCTGGATATTGACACTCTGTGTAGCTTTTTTTACCCTCTCTCTTTATGAATATTACTAGGCGTAAGGAAAGGTAAGGCATAAATGAATAATGTGCTGCATGTATGTGTCAGTTTTCTGGTGGTGGTACTGATTGGCACTTGGGGTTTTTCCTGCACAAACACCTCTAAGATTAAGAGAGAAAATATATTTCCCAATGGGAATCAATTCCTTGGGCAAAAAGTGCATTCAGAAGTAAAGATGTCATCAGAGTATTGTCCCTGACTATGCCCATCCCTTTATGACCACAGCATACCCATCTTTTTTGGCTGCTTCCAGCAGGCTTACATCCCATGTCACACAGCTCAGATCATCTCAAGCTGGTGTCTTGAACATTGTGGTTTGTTCACTGTACTCAAATGATCCCCACACTCACCAGCTCTCACCACATCCCAAAGGTGCTCTTTGGGATGTGGTGTAATGGGAGTGTTTAATGAGAAACAAATCTGCAACAAGTATTTGATGCTGTCATGTCAATATGGAGCAAAATCTTTCTTAAGCTACACCATTAATTAAGGCAGTCCTGAAGGCAAAAAGGGGGTTCAACCCACAAATTATCAAGGCATACCCAATAAAGTCCCTGGCAAACTTATATTTAATATGTAAAACCTCCAACGTTTCTGTACAAGGCTTAGCAGAAGCATTAAAATATTGTGAAATGCAAAAATGACACATTTCTCACTGAAATAATGAAATCAATTTGTTAATTACAGTAAATTTGTCGGTTTTCTTTTCATTTTTATGCAATTGCTGGTTGAGTCAATATAGAACACTTACAGTGTAAAATGGGAGTTTAAAGGTGAAAAGGAGCTATTTATGAAAGAAACAAGGCTTTAGAGTATTAATGTATTAATGGCTTATAAGTGTGCTTTCCTCCTAATCATTAACAGTCAGGGTTATCTGTTCACTTGTTTAACTTTCTTTATTATATGCATTTTAAGGAGTACATAATTATAACACAGTACAATAATATTACAATTAGATATGACGGCATAAATAACTCTAGCAAATGAGTGCCTAACACAACTTGATCTTTATTATTATTAGATATAATAAATACATTTCAGTTCAATGTATCCCGTGAATGAGGTGTTTTATTTTTTTTAAAAAATCTGACTCTTCACTATGATTTGTTCATATGCGAGAGGCGGTACAAACATATAATAAACAGAAAATACATTAAACAAAGATGAAAAAGCATCATTGGCTTCTGGGCTATAAAGAATAAAAAATATAAAAGAAAATTTACATGAGATTTGTGTGTGTGATGGGCCTAAGTTTGCCACATTAGGTTCAACATAGATGGGAATAATTATAGGCTTAAGAATATGGGGATTTTTCTCTCAGGTTAAAACTCTGGATATGTTAAATTAGCATAATTAAAACAAATTAAAAAACAAAACAAAAAATAACTGCGTCACATACACAGCAGAACACTTATTGTGGAGGTGATGATGAAACTGATCTAGTAAAGCAAAATGCGAGTTTAACTGGAAATCACTCTAAAACCTTTATTGGTTTTCCCTCTTATTAGAACTTTTGTCTTAGTTTTACTTTTTCTTGGAATATTACTTTCAAAATTAGCATGTATTTTTAGAACGGCCCCACGGGAGTCCCTGGTTTGAAAAAAAAATGTTCGTGGCTCCGGTGCGTCAGCCTGTGACTTCACTGGGCTGGAAGGAGCAGAGATGCTCTGCAGGAAGCTCCCAGTCATGACTGTGTGAGCGGTGAGACGAGAGCGAAGCGTGGAGCCTGCAGCACCTCCTCTCCTCTGGCTGCAAACTTCAGACCTCTTTATGATGTGTGAAGGGAAAAGCGCGCTGGAGTTTGATTTGATGGCTTTTCGATATCACAAAGTGGAATGGATTTCGCTGAGAAGAACAGACAGTTTGACTGGATCCTGTGCGGATGAAATTAAGTTTTTAAAGGATTTATAGAAAGGGGCTCTTGGTGGATACAGTTCGTACTGTGGCCCTGCAGAGATTTTTCACTGTGTAATGCATGTTTCTGAAAGCTCGGTGTAATTTTCTTAAAACTCCAAAGAGCGACAGCTTCCTCTTGTCATGAAAAATCTCACCATGGATAACATGACTGTGGAAAATGACACTTCGGTGCACGACAACCAGACCCTTGGAGTGTGGACTGACTATTCATTTGAATACAAGGTGGCCAGCGTGTTTTTGGTGACTCTAATATGTGGGGTTGGGATCGTGGGGAATGTGATGGTCATACTGGTAGTCCTGACCACCAAACACATGCGGACTCCCACTAACTGTTACCTTGTGAGCCTGGCGGCGGCTGACCTAATGGTCCTTACGGCCGCCGGGCTGCCCAACATCACCGACGCCCTGCACGGGCAGTGGGTGTACGGCTACGCGGGCTGCTTGGGCATCACTTATTTCCAGTACCTGGGGATAAACGCGTCCTCCTGCTCCATAACCGCCTTCACAGTGGAGCGCTACATCGCCATCTGCCACCCTATTAAAGCGCAATTCTTGTGCACTCTATCCAGGGCTAAGAAAATCATCATGCTGGTGTGGGCGCTCACCTCTGTTTACTGCATCATGTGGCTCTTTCTGTCAGACACTAAAAAGTTGATCTATGACAACGTGGTGCTGCTCACCTGCGCCTACAAGGTGTCCAGGAGTCACTACCTGCCCATCTACTTCACGGATTTCACGGTGTTTTACGTGCTCCCTCTCATGCTGGCCACGGTTCTGTACGGACTGATCGCCAGGATACTTTTCATCAATCCACTGCCTTCGGATCCGAAGGACAGCACCAAGAAGTGGAAGAAGGAGACGACTCAGGGAGGGAGGATGATTAGCACCAGCTCCTCCAGCAGCACCACGGCTGCCTCCCGCAGACAGGTAGCTCATTATCGTCGCCATCATCCCTGTAGCACTTTTCTGCGTGAGTTGGGTTGCGGAGGGACTGTATTTCGTTCCAATTAAAAACAAGTTAAATGTTTCATTTCCAGCAGATTTATTCTGCTTCTCTGCTTTTTCTTCTTCTTTTTAAATCCAGATAGATATTCTGACAATGAAATGTAGCCCTGCGTTCAGTTATGCTAGTCTAAGTTTATGGTGACAGGAAAAAACCCGTCTGTTTGGGATTTGGAAGATCTTGTACCGCATGAAACAGAATGAGAACACCCAACCTGGGTTCCTTGGCTTATAAGCGTTTCTTTAAAAAGAAAGAACGCTTTTTAAAAAGCCGTTTCTTTAGTGAAAGATCCACAGCTTCGTGGATTACAGACATTGAGAGAAATTAGAATATGTCTTCTCGTCCTTATCTCCGTGTGAGGGGGTAAAAATTTAAAAATCCTGCAAAAAACAAAAAAATCTCAAAAATCCTCAACTGCAATTCCATCAATGCTGCACCCATATCAGAGGCGGGGCTACATTCTTAATGGTTGTATTTCAGGCCGACATTGCAGGCACACACGTGTCTGCAGTCACGGCGCATGAGTAGTTGGTGGATTGTTGCGTTTCAGACACGTCTGAAGGGTGAGACCTCACCCTCTCCTGACGAATTTTCACTCGGACCCAAGCAGACCATGCAAATGCCTAAACTATACTGTCCCTCTAGCACAACAGGGAGGGCCTGTCTTAGTAAGGGGGTTTATGGAGGGGTTTAGGACAAATTCATATACCTAAACGCAGCTTCTGTTAATCGTATTTTATTCTGAAAACTTTCCATTAAGCTTTAGTTCCTAAAGTACTGGTAACTGAGCCTGGTGGAGTGTAAAACCAGCCAGTTCATTTCCCTCCCTTTCTTTCTCTTTCTTTCTTTCTTTCTTTCTTTCTTTCTTTCTTTCTTTCTTTCTTTCTTTCTTTCTTTCTTTCTTTCTTTCTTCGTGGAACAGAGGAGATTCTATAGTTTAGGACTGAATAAGAAGCAGAAATTTTGAGATAGTCCATCCTAAATATAGGCCAAAAAATGAATTATCTTATCTATGTCTTTTGTTAAACACACGGCCACATGCAGTACTGCTAAACAGTCTAAAACAATTTCACTATCTATCTTCTGTTTAGTTTTTTCTTTTTAACATTTTAAAAACAGTTTTATGAATAAAACTGAATCCTCTAAAGGTAAGGACGCCATGCCAGACACCTAGGTAGGCTGCAGGGAGAGATGTTTGTTTATCAGATCAGGGGAAGAAGTCTTCCTGGAATGACAAGGGGGTGTGGTAACCCTGAGGGAGCTCCATGCTCTGCTGGGTAGTCAGATCAGTTAACCCTAACTCAAATAGACTTTTAGGCCTTTTCTCCATCAGTGGGGTTTTTATTCTAACACATTTCTGCCAAAGCACAGCCACATTTGCTTGTTATCGTCAGCATTCACAACTCAACACAGACACAACCAACAACCCCTTCCTCCTACCACATACCTTACCGAGTTACCTAAATGTCAACAGCAGCTAAGATTAGGCACTCCACTTGCTGATGGCACTTGCTCTGCCCCTATCCAAGTCAATTAGACTCACCTCACTGCAGCTGAGACAACATGTCATGAATATGGATACGGTTTGATTACATGCACGTTTAAACATCAAGATTTTTACCCGGCAACTAAATTAATAAATCCAATCTTTGTAAAGTTGTGATTAACGATTTGATCCAGTTACTTAATAAATTATATAAACATTAAATAGGTGTTCAAATAGGTCACTAATATTGACGAGAGACTTTCAAGCTGGAAAGATTTTTATCTCATCAAATCTTTTCATTTTTTTAACTGGATAGTTTGGTATGAGCCACTGATGTGTAGCATCAATGTTGCTTTGATTAAGTGATGCACCAATTGAGCAACAAGCTGATCAGCAGTATACTTGTCCCTCTTTCCCATGTTAGAATCATGGTAAAAACTATCCAGTCCCTGAGGGGTGTGCTTATGCAGCACACCCAAATTTTGTATAAATCCGCTGTAAAAAGGACCCATTTTCACTTTTGTTTTTTCTGATGTCATTATCCTCGAGTGACATAGGAACACACTGTACATGTAAACCTAATAAGCTTGCTTCACAGTACACCCATCTGGTGTGTGCTGCTAATTCAGGTGATTTTTGTACAATGCGAGTGACTCCACCCTAAAACACTTACCAGATAAATAATTGGCAAAACCCCAGTGCAGCAGTAAAAAGGTCAATCCACGCCTCGGTGTATGTGTAGCCATGTTATTTGTTGCAATGTTCGAGCAGACCTGCTGGCATTTTCACAGCTTTTACGATCAACAAAGTTCTCAATTCAAATTATACCCCTAGTATATACAAGTGCAATCAGGTGAACGAAGAAGAGTTTTTGGCTTGAAACAGGTGATTTTCTGGTACTATAGCATGCTGTATTATAAGTTAGACCATTTTTGGCAACCTTTTCATGAAAATGTCCAAAGGTTGTGACAGTGTCTTGGTTTGCTGGTTCCAGATGATCAAAGTTGAGCACAAAGGTCTAAAGACAAAAGCAGAGTTCTGTATTTGATAGGGACTCAGAATTTCCAATCACCAAACTGGAAAGGTCGAAGAAAACACCCACTTGATAACTTGGACACATTTACTCAGCTCTGACATTCAAATTTTGTTCATAACCACTATGGTCAAAGGAAACTCTTATTACTGTCCACAGTAATCCATGTTTGACAGTAAGGCTCAGCGCTGGCACCTTCCTGCCTTTGTATTTGCATGCGTGAAAAGCTTTAGGCTGAGAGGTGCAGCATGACCCCTAAGAACACAGATCCGAGCAGGCATCAATGGCATGACATTGATGAAGTCAGACACAGCATAAAAATGAGGAGCTGAGCTGGAGGTGGGTCCCGTTGTATATGAGATTTGCAAGTGGGAAACACAGAAGTGTATCAGCTGAACCACCAGCTGTTTGCTTAGCTGTTATCAGCTCATATTGATACTGATATAAATAAATGGTCGTGACAAGTTTAAAATTTTTTAAAACAAGGTTTTTTGAAATTTAGTTTGGGGCAGCTTTCCTCTTCTGAGCTCAATATTGTTGTCTTTAAATATTGTAGTAACGCTCCACCATGTGGGAGCAGGTGAATGATGACCCCATATATGCTGCAGTTTTAAATCTTTGAACCCTGGTCAGAAGTTTTGTCATGAGTTTTTAAATCATGGCGTGCTGTTTTTAAGGACATTTTTTGTGCCATGAAAGCACATGTTAAGCTTTTTGTTTGCCATTTCAGGCTGTACCCATTGTAAAGAGATTAAATAACCAACACAGTGGCTGGGTGGAGGTGGCTTAAAGGCGGGAGAACAAAGGTTCATAAGGTCAGGAGGTAAACTGCTTATCCCCGCCTCAGGATTTGATTTTACCTTTTTTTTTCTTTAGAATTTTACATTTTGCCTATTCAATTTGGCAACACCACCAATTTTCAAATTATTCCAGTGCCTTCACATGAACCTTGAAATTAAAAAAAAAAAACAACTTACCGGTAGATTATCTGGTCAGTTGGTGACACCTGTGGTCACTAATAAGGATTTGTTTTGTTGTTGCTGTTGTTTTGTGTAGAGTTATTTTAACACATTGTACTGTGCTCTGACATCTGAAACAAATAGGCTGTTTCACAGGAAAAGCCACTTCACCAGCTGAATGTTTCCAATGAGAAGCAGAAGTGTTTGATGTTCTGCAGCTGTATAATAGGGATGTTGATAGGCTGACCACACTGAGAACAAATTTGTAGATGAACTACAGAGTTGCATACATTAAATAAATTAAATCCCAAAGGAATCACAGTCAAAACTATGCAGAGTGTTAGTTACAGACAAAAACTAATATTAGCAAAAAAAAAGTTAGGGGTGAAATTTCATACACCACATAAAGATGTTTTTTCATTTAACTGTGGGGAAGGCGCAGCTGCATGTAAAGACAATGTCGATGCATGAGAGGGTGTTGGTTTTGTGCATGCTGGCTCATAGCTTACTGGGTAAAAAGCTGTGCAGTAGTGCAATGTGTTGGGCTTCATTTACACCTGATGAGCATTTAAAAACTTTTTATTATGCTGTCCGAAACAGGTTCGTCTTGTAAATGAGTTATTGAATCTCAGTGAGATTACCTGTAAAAATAAAAGTTAAATAAAAAAAAAAAAGCTTCTTTAACACATGAATGAATTTTTTTCCCAGGTGACAAAGATGCTCGCTGTGGTGGTGATCCTGTTCGCCTTACTTTGGATGCCCTATCGTACCTTGGTGGTGGTCAACTCTTTCCTGGACAAGCCCTACCTGGACACCTGGTTCCTGCTCTTCTGCCGTCTCTGCATCTACCTAAACAGTGCCATCAACCCCATCATCTACAACGCCATGTCTCAGAAGTTTCGTGCCGCTTTTAAGAAATTGTGTCACTGTGGCCCTCAGCGCATGGAGAAGCCTGCTTCCTACAGCGTGGCCCTCACCTACAGTGTCATCAAGGAAACGTCCAACGGGGAAAGTCCTGACCACTTCACCACAGTTATGGATGAGCTCCACACACCGTCTGCTCAGTACCTACCTGCCAGCATCCTGCCAAATGCCAAAAAGATGGTATATGAAGAGCCTTCTCCGTCGAGCAGGGATGTCAAGGCCTGACTAGAAACAACCTTTCCACCTGAAGGTGGTATCAGAGATTCTGACAGCTCCAGTATTGATTCTGACATGTATTGAATATACAGGTTCCAGCTTTATTTCTCAAGATTTTTTCCTCTTGTAAATGTTTGTTTTATTTGACAACAACATTTGCCAGAAGACAAATAGGATGAGCTGCCCTGTGCTGTAGGCTTTCTTGCATTTTTGTGTGAAATGCAAGAAGAGAGAAAATATCATAAAATAGGAAGTCTTAATTATTAATGCAGGAAGTGATCCTCCTCAGCCCTATGATGTAATACAAAATCACCTTTTCTATTAACTTTACCATAAGCTTTATAGTATAAACTTGCATGGCACCGATTTGTTATAAGTTGCTGTATAGCTGTATGACAAATTTGTCGGAAGTAGGGTGCCTTCTCATCTCATCTTTCTCCCACTAAACAAAACCAGACTGTTGAATAAGACATTAAAGTAGTAGTCACACTCAAAAGGAAATTTCATTAGTGGATGTCATAGGTCTTTGTGATAATAGCCTTGCCGTTAGAAACCTTTACGGCAAGTTTAAAATGATTTAGCTGTCTCGCTTAACTCTTTGTTTGTTCCCATTAGTCTGATAGTGCCACTCTCAGCTACAGCAGGCAGCTGTTTTCAACAAACAGCTCTCTCTCCATCCAGTACGAAACAGCAGACAGACAGATTTAGCAAACACTGCTGTGGATGTTGAGGAGATCAGATATTCCCCCGGGAGTCCCCATTTGGTCGAACATTTCATATTTAAATTCAATTTGCCAGCTGATCAGAAACATTTTCACTGCAAGTGAACAAAAAAAGGAGAAACTCCAGAGTGTGCCTGAAACACAGCTTAATCCCTAGTCCATTCCCTCATTATCAAACAATACTTAAATAGTCAGCTTCAGACAGAAGTATATACTAAATGGACGTTCACTCATTTTCATTTCATTTTCTTAACCTATCCCAGCTATCATATGGTGAAAGGCAGGGTGCACCCTGGGAAGTTCGCCAGTCTCTTGCAAAACAATCACACGGAGACAGACCACCATCCACGCTCACCTTTACAGCTAAGAGCAATTTAGAATCACCTGTTAGCACAACACACGTCCTAGAGGAGTACCCACAGTGACTCCATAGAGGCACAGTGAGAACATACAGTGGATTCAAACCTAGGAACTGGCTGTGTGATGAGACCTTGTTTATGTACAACTGTTCTTCATATTTATGGCTGATGTGACTGTTGAGCGATCACTTTCTATTCGCTTGACTCTGCCCAGCTTCCTCTCCCTGTTCTGGGAATGGAGCTCTTATTTTCCTTTGACCTAAAGTGGTTAGTAACAGTCAGACGATTACTTTTATCACCACAAGTATGCCATAAGCATACCACATTGCACACTGACAACTAATCATAGTAGTATTCTGTTACATCGACAGTTCGGTTGATGACTTTCTGTCAGTCTAATGACATTTTGATATAATTTCATTCTCTGGCCAGGTGTGTGTTAGCATGGAGCAGGTGCCCATGTTGTATTATTCCTTTTGTTAATCTTATTCACAGCACACGGCAACATTCATGAGTAGACCAAGAGGATGTGAACCCTCTACCATGACATGCTGTCACACTGGACTATAGTTGAAATAGCAACACACTAAACACACTAAAATAAAGATAAATTATTTCAGTGGGGTGGACAACTAGATGCTAGCGCAGGTGTTCAAGAGTTTACAGTGAACCTATAAATGAGGTTCATTTAGATGCGTCCCAGCAGATTCCTGGGTTCAAGTTTTCATTTTATTTATCATCAAGCATTTTATAAAGTTTATCTGTAATGTAACTAAGTGCTTTTGCTGTAAAGTAACATTTTACTTTCTTTTATGTTTACATTTTTGAGTGTTCTGTACAATATTCGACTTTTGTTTTGTTTCTGTGCTTGGACTGCATACACTGTATCACCTGTACATCAAAGCCTCTCATTTCTCAGTCGTTAAAATGTTCTGTCATGATAAATATTTATATTGTCTGCATTACTCAGCCCCATAGGATATCGTTTTACCAACCCTACCATACACAAAAGCAAATACAAAACTCTTTTTCCGTTGCTAATGTACCACTAGAAGGCTAGTACAGGATTTTACATAAATCCAATGCACATGACATTTTAGTCTTGCTACAGCACTACAGGGAAAACACAGATGTGGAATTATGTGACCTTTTAAAAATAGGTCTAAATATGAGAACAACTTTATCTTGCTTTCTCAATTTAAAATCCACTGATGTCTAACGATTTCTCTGTGGATTTCAAACTAAACAGTGACAAACACTAAAGTCTTCTGTTGGCTACTGTGACTATGACAGCTGTGGAATCAGAGCCCGTGGGGGGGGGGTGAGTGGCCGGTGTATCATAATGATAAGAGAAGAATGTGTAGCTCTGATGTGCAGAAAGAGAGGCTGTTTGTTAAAGGGTCTGGTAACAGTCGTGACAGTAATTCACTGAAACTGCAGATTGCAGCACTTTTGTGGGATTTATCCGCTCAGCAAAACCCAACAGAGCAATGATGGAAGGTGTAAATAGATCGCAACGACGTGCCATACTTGAGCTGGCGCAATCCACACTGTGTATATTGCTCACACCCCGCTATTAAAGGATGAATTTTCTAGTGTTTCTTTGAGCTACGTGTACAGTGTGTGTAAACTGAAGACGGCTCAAGGGGATAAATAAGTAAGGAGCTCAGTGAGAAGGGCCTTTTTTGTGTTAATCTAAAGGCTTTTTTCTGTCAATATTGTGAAGTTGCTTGAAATTGATTGTGCAGTGCAATGTGAAATTCAATTGGTATTGTGTTTTCAAACATGTGGCAGCAAAATGGATTTTGTATTTTTCTTTTTTTTTTGAAATAATAGCTCATTTTGATCTATTGTTCCATCAGTGTGTTTACCATCATTTCACAACAGCGGGTGGGGGCTGAACTCCAAAGTGGAAGAAAAAGACCGTGGTTTGTAGTAGTTGTAGCGTAAAGTACCTCTTATTCGTACAAGTTTCAATTTCTTCCTTTGTTCTCGGTTGAAACATATTTCTTTGACAAACAGCTGCGATGGAGATTTTTTGTTCTGCACGGTGCACTGTCTGCAACATGAACTCAGGCTTTTGTGAAGTGCTACCTGATGAGTTTCCATCTGATGCAGTGTGGGGTTTTTTGTGCACTTTTCTTTCTGCAGGTGGCTTTTCTCTGCTTTATCAGTTTGATGGCTTGTTTTGTATTTTGTAACCTTCTTTGTCAATAATAAACACAGATGATAATTACACGACGCTGGAGATGGTGCATTATTGCTACGTCGATATACGCTCTTTTGTTCCCCATTCTCTACAGCTCCACCACGTCTGATCTATTACCAGCAGCCATTGAAGAAACTGCCTCATCCAAGATGCCCTTATGAATCAGGCACAGATAGCTCTGCGAGCTGCGATCACACCGAGGACATCAATCACAGGTGTTGATTGCTTCGTTCTGAAACCACTCAGCATGTGGTGGCCTCGTCTCCTCTTGCTGAAAACTATCAGAACCCAAATGTGCTCAAAACAAATAATGTGACAACCGTGTGAAATTTATGTTTACTGTAGGTAATGTCACTAAATATCTGATCCGTCAAAGCTCCCTCAATTTTGTTAAGTGATAATGCCACCACTGGAGTCACACAGTAATTTCCCATGCACTGTGATGGAGTTGGAAAGAGCTTAATGTGCCAGGAGAGAATGTCCCTGGAACACGGAGGCACTGTTTGCCGACTGCATTTCATCAGCTGCACGCACTCTAGCTGTAATCTGACTGGCACACAATTGTTTTCACAAATGCATGTGAAGACACAGATTTTATTTTAATCCCCCTACTGTTTGTTGCTCTGTGTCTAATTTGTAAACTTATTTGGAAAGCTTTCCGCTTGTGGTGGAACTTGAATAATGAAAAAAAAAAGGTCTTTTCAGCAACTCCCTTATTCAGAAAGCTCTGCATATTTGAGTTGGCAAGTTTTATACTGGATGCCATTCCTGAAGCAACCTTAAAGGGATTTGCGTCTTCTCAAAATAGCGATCTTTCACATCTTAAGTGAATGTGAAAAATGCTAAACCATGGAGCTACTAAAAGTAAGAATAATATTATCCATCAAATTCATCTGTAGCTTTCATTATTGTATCTTTTTTTATGAATAAAATTACATTCGGGTGGAAGCAGAGAGTGTTCTAACTGGACAAGCAGGAGGATGACAACTGATGCGTTAATTTTGAGATGTCTACCAGCTCATCCCTGCTTGTTATTTTATCACTGCTCCAGTTGGCTGTTCTTGTCAGGCTAAAATGACCCTCTGGCCACTGGTAAATGTCCCAGTGCTCCAGATAGGCAGTCTGCCACAGAATGTTTTAAACTATGGACTCAGGCTCACGTTCTTCAGTATGCAGATCTATTCCTTTTTAGCCTGACTTGTCAAACTGACTTGCTTTTCTTTTTTGATTGTTACCTGCAACGTGTTCTAACTAGAAACTGCAACTAAATATTTTTGGAAACGGGAGTATAAATATAAGCTAAACAGAATCAAACAAAGTGTGTCTCAAAGCTATAACTCTTTCCTTTCTTCAGTGTCTTTTAATGCTAAAAAAAACAACAACAAAAAACTCAAGCAAACTAAAATGCAGCACTGCAAACCATGTGAGAAGTTCACACTGCTTATTGCTCAGATGTTCTGGGGGCAGTAAGTAAGGAGAAGGAAAGTCTTGTGTTTCTGAATATTGCATATATCTGTGATTGACCTCTGCTCCTTTCCAGGTCATCTGCTACTTCAGCTAGTATACAGGCTCACAGGTGTGAAAGATTACCTAAAACTAATACTGAGATCAGATTATGGAAAGTATGTATGTGCAACAATTATTTTCCCCTATCACACTCTGTCCAAAAGAAAAAAATGCATATGACTTTAGCAATGTAAGCATTGTGGCCTTACAGTGATAGTGCCTCTGTTCCAGACTGCATAGTGCTGATATTTCTCTGAGGGTGGATTGCCTTAAAAGTTTGCGCATGAATCTCAGAGGATAAATCGAGATGGCTTTGATGATCACTGGTCTTTTTTATCTTGTGCTGCCCTGAGGTTCAAGTATGTGGCTCTTTGTGAAATGTCCTGACAGCTATTGAATGAATTTCCATAAACTTTCCAACAGACATTCATGCCTACTTAGGATAAATTATTAGCACTTCAGCTCAGAATTATAGCTTGTTCAATAATTCAGCTCGTGATCTACTCCAATGAGTGAACATGGCAAATAATTGCCAAACATTAGCATGTTAAAGATGAGAACATGCCACACAGATTTGAAGAGTTGTCTGTACCTAAGTATGGCTTCATAGCACAACCTTTAATCTTTATTCCTGCTTCTTTTTTTATGCTTGACACTCATAGAACTTGTTCTTGCGCAATCAACAACACGGTGATGGGAAAGCAGAATGTTTCACAAAATTTCAGTGAGTTCGTCATCTGTCGGGTTCAGATTTGAGGGTCGGGAGTATTATAACAGAGCTGATTACATATTCACACTGCCCACCCATTCGCCTAGTTTCTTTGAACTGGAATAAAAATGCAAAGCCCACCTTCACTGCCAAGTGATGGTGAAAGGTTCAGTTGTCATTTATAAAACCATTTCAGCCATTGCTGCAGCTGAAAAGAAGAAACCATTGAACAGCACCTTCAGGGCTCTAACACAGGTCAAGGTGAAACCTGGAAAGTCAAAGAAACATGCAAACAAATAATTCCAAGAATATATGCACATAATCAGTGACCTCCTCAAAGAAGGAACACATACATAACTACCACGCAAAAAGGATGAAGCGCTAAAGAACTTGTCTTTCTTCTCATTCCCTCATTCAAACTCAAAGAGTTTGGGGAGTTTGCAAGTGAATTTCCAGTTTAGAATAAGCTTTCTGGCATAGAGGACAACCTAGATGTCTGTGAGGTGAGTCCAGTGGCAGAACCCCAAGCCAGGCAATGCGATGAGAGTGTGAGGTATTAATTCTGAGTCTATCTGACAGACATTTAATTGCCGTGGCTCAAACCTTTTCCATTACAAAACAAAGACCAAAAACTGATGATCAGCCAAGTTTGCAACTCATGCAGGTAGCACCACCAGCTGCAAAGTGACTTATTCTGCTCAGTGAACTCAGTGTACAGTTTTGAACTGCATTAAATTGTTTCTAATGAGAATACATTAAATCCGGTGCCCCAGTACCCAGATGCTGCTGTCTTTGAGTGCTTTCCACCTCATTTACATCACAATAATAGTAATTATGTTACAAGAAGGTCAGGATAATATTTCCATATTCATGGAGTTCAAATGTGAATGAATCTTACGGTGATTGAAATATCAACTGACATTAATTGGTGCTACCTTTTATACAGTTAGTCCCTAAGCATATTTCTCATGTGTGAGAAACAGCTGAGTAAACCCCAGCAGTTGATATACTGACATGCAACTAATTCAAGCTTGCCAAGACACCTGCCTTTGATTATACTCCTGTCAGAGTATTACACTACTAAATAGGAGGAAAAGCCACAGAGGTACCAGCTTTTTGCACCGACTGTTTCTAGACACATTTATTCAGTGAAAAGGAGTAATGATAATAAAGATGCACTGGCCTGGGAGAGCCACATTGCTTTGACAGAGTTTCAAACTATTGAAAAGTAGACAGGAAGTCAGACTGAAGTAGCCAAGAGGATTAAACGCCTCAGCAGTGGGCAGCTACACCGATGGCATGTTCCTGGCTTATTCCCTGCTCAGCTTTCTAGCCCTATTACATATTCAGTGCCGGG